GGTAACAGTCTGGCTTTCGGGTGGTCCCCTCGCTTCCCTACTCGTTGACACACGTCACAAGTACTACAGTAACGTCGCACGTCCTTTGAGATTCCCGGCCAAAAGAAGGTCTGGGTAATCCGGTAGGTAGTGCGGTTACCTCCTAAATGTCCTGCCAAGGGAATATCATGTCCGATTCGCAGAAGTTCCAACCGGTACTTTCTGGGTACCACTAGTTGGCGCTTCTGTGATGGGACACTGCCTGTCTTTTTCCCTTCTGTCAATCTATACAGTCGGTCATTATCCCAGATAAAACGTTCCTTCTCACTCCCCCCCACTATCGGCAAGCTCCCTGTATTTTTGGAGGGTAGGATCTGCTCGTGTCTCCCTCCCAAATGCTTCGGGGGTATCCCAAGCTAAGGGTCTCTCTATGGGGTCTGGCCTAGGGGCTGGGTCGTGGCTTACCTGGGTCTCCCGTCCTGGTGCAGGGTCATCGGCAGCATACGCCTGGGAACGTGTGGTCACTGGGCAGGCGGTAGCAGTCGTAGGTAGATACGCTGATGCAAGCGGGCCAATGTCATTGCCTAGTACGACTTCTGCGGGTAAATTATCCATGATGCCCACAGTGGTCTTCCCAGACCCGACTCCCCAATCCAGGTGTACCCTAGCAGTGGGTAAACGGAACACAGCTCCTCCAGCAACTCGTACAGCCACAGTTCAGTTGGACAAATGTTCAGGCTTCACCAGGTGTCTCTGCATTAATGTAATGGTGGCCCCAGTGTCTCTTAATCCTTGCGCCACCTGTCCGTTCACCCGCACTTCTTGTCGATGGTGTTGTCGATTATCTGGGGAGGCAGCTTGTATCGGGTCCGCCTCATACAAAATACCCAGGCATTCCTCGGGACCCACCTCTGTCTCCAGGCAATGGGCGGCTGAGGTACGTGGGGACGAAAAAGGAGTGCGGGGTGATGCGGTCTCTGTAGGTGGTGAGGGTCGTCGCCAGTTGTTGGCTGCTGACCCCAGGGGGCAGTTACGGGCCATGTGCCCCAGGTTGTTGCAGCGATGGCACGCCATCCGAGATACATCTCTTGGGTAGCTGGGGGACCCCTGTGGGCGAGGGGGCCCTGGTGGTACGGGAGCACGGAACTCCGGGCGAAAATTGCTGGCTGGGGTACGTGGTTCCGGCCTGCTGGTTGTGCGGTGAGAGCCTTGACTAACTCTCCTTGTTTCGGCATACTCGTCCGCGAGCCGAGCCGCCTCTTTTAAGTTGCTGGGTCGTCGATCCCTTACCCAGTCCTGTAGATCAGCTGCTAAGTCCTGGAAGAAGTGTTCCATTAAGAAAAGTTGCAGGACTTCCTCCCCTGTACTGGCGTTACATCCTTGGACCCAGTGGGAGGCTACTCTCTGTAGACGGTTGGCCCATTCCATGTGCGAGTCCACGGCTTTCTTTTTAGACTCACGGAACCGTCGGCGGTATGCTTCTGGCGTCACAGCATAACGGGCTAACAGGGCCTTTTTGACCTGCTGGTACTGCGTAATATCCTCTGCGGTGAGGGCCCGAAAGGCCTCGTTAGCCTTGCCGGACAGCTTCCCAGCTAAGATGGTAACCCATTGGTCAGGGGGTACCTGGTGTAAAGAGCACTGTCTCTCGAAATCGGCTAAATATCCATCGATCTCCTCTTCATTCTCGACAAACGCCTTAAACGCAGTAAATGGCACTTTCTTAGGGTTAGTAGGCGGAGGGGAGGTAGGAACTGCATGTGTAATGGGCTGCTGAGCTCTTACAGGTTCGATTTCGTGCCCCCTCCTCTCCCGGATATCTGCTTTGGCATCGAGGAACAGCCGCTCAATCAGCTCCACTGATGTCTCTGGATAGAAGGCCAGTCTCCTCTGTACGATGCGGGCGACCTCGTCCTCCTCGCTGTCTGGCCTCTGTGTCTCTGTTACGTCCATGGACCGGTCCATTTCGTCCAGCTCTAGTAGGTCTGCGATCAGCTCTCTCCGTGGTCTGTTACTGGCAATCCTTCCCCGGTTCTCCAGTAGATCCTTTAGGATAGGTCTCTTCAATTTAGCGTATTGAGACTCCATCCAGCATCTGCGCTGTGGATGAAAGGACCATCCCACCGCTGCCACCAATGTAACGGCTACCCTGGTGTAGAGAAGGTACCAGCCGTTAGGGACGTCCTTTTCTTCCTGGCAGTCGCTGTGTAGTGATGGAGTCGCCTATTCCCTTCTGCTGGATCAGGAGTGGAAACCAGGTGCAGCTCTGAAAAGAGCTAAGTGATTAAGCTGCAGAGATTCCCCTTTCAAGAACGAGACAAGGCTACGTTTTGAAGGGTCAAGAAGAACTGTCAAAACCTTTATTCCCTTGGGACCAGCCAATACAGTCACCACAATAACATTGGTGTGAAACCTCAATAAAATCACAAACAGTCAAACCATATCAAGAAACACACAGTGACTTATCACAACACAATGGCACATTTTTAAAGGGGTGGGGGGAGACAATATTTAACAGTAAATATCTCACCTGCCTGCAGAATTAGCAATATGCAAATCTACCCGAATATGCAAATGAACCAGTCTTGCAATTCAGGTAGTGCATATTGCTGTTGCTACCAACAGAGGGCACTAGACCAGCTCCATAGCCAAACCCACCTAGTTGGTAGCAAACCTCAGCATACAAGAGAGCAGGCAATACATTACACAGTACACACACACACTATAAACAATTACATTACACACACCCTGCACCTATAATGGGTACAGGGTGACTAAAACATAGGATAAATAAAGCAGCCCACATAAATAGTCTGTCTGAAGGTAGACTAGGGGCTTTAAAGCCAGATAGATGAAAGAGTCATAGTCACAGGGGAGGAGACTGGCAAGAAGGCCTCTCCAGGACCAAGTGGCGAAGGACACTTCGTCACAGGCTGTATAATCCATTTGTCCTTTTGTAGGCATACTGGGCTTGTTGTTACAGTGCCTTTTGATATATGCACACTATACGCATTACCGATTGAACCTGTACTATTTGCAATTTGAACCCACTCATGAGTGCAGACTAAATTGGAGATTGCAGCCAGCTTACTTCTGTTAATGAATACAGTGATACGAGACAACTGTTTTGGCTTCTCATAGGCCTTGTCAGAGACTGATATTCCCACTTATATTTTTCCAAGTGAGGTGAAGCTTCTAGCTTCTAGCTTAGAGTTTGAGTGAGGACTAAGTAAAGGGAAACTCTAAGTTCCAAATCTACTACAAGCCGCAATAGTGGCTATGGTGCCATGAGTCCCCTGGCACCATCCTAAGGTCAGTATTTATACATTATTTATGGTCTTCTCAATATTGCTAAAGAGAAAGTCTTCATTCCCCTTTAGCTGTTATAGATTTTGTGAAACTTTTCACATAATGCATTGACTGGATGAGAGTGCAGCAGGTACACACAGATGGGGGCTTGGTGAAACACTGTGTATCGCCACATTCACAAGACTCTGATTGGAGGCTTGATCAGACTGAAAGTAATGCTACATGTCACATACTATAATAATAGTACACAATACATTATATTACTAGTTACTAAATACATACCCCCTCTCCTAGCTGTCTCTGGCCACCATGATGTCAGATTTGCACATACCGCCCAACATTTGGAATAGATAAAGAGGCACACTTATCCTTGTGGGCCAATAATTGCTTGCCAGAGATATAGATATGCTGTTCTGCTATAGAAATAGTGAAATTAAACGCAATGCACAATGAACTGACATAAATTCACATTGGGCATGAGAGGAGAACTTATAGAGAGGATATGCTCAGCTAGCATGGTATAAACAGAGGTTAGTGTCCATTTCGTCTCCATCTCCATCATTGACATCCAAATCCAATGTACCTTAACCCCACTCAAGCTAAGATGATTTTTTTTTAGGAAACTACTACGGGGTAAAAGTAGGTATCAATGGCTGATCACAAAGATAAGATATAGGATTTTCTTTCACAGACCAACCATAGACGGTGGCTTTGACAATAGAAAATACCATGCAGACGAAGAGCAATACTTAGGGGCAAAATTTAGGAAGCAGCAGTAAGTAATGTTTTACAGCATTATAAATGGAAGAAATAGCCCTCTGGTTGATGTTGTACAGATTGAAGGAATGCTTTATGATTAGGAATGTAGGAATTGAAACCTGTTTTCCTAATGCTATAGCGCCCCTGTTCCTCGCTCTGTACCGGTTCCCACATACCCATTTGTGATTTAAATGTAAAACATTTAAGTTATATTTACTTTATGCTAGTGACAAAGCTCATTCAGCAGTGTTCACCTCTAATCCTCTTGTGACGACAGAGCATTGGGGAGCATTGTAGACCTATTGTGCATGCGTGGTTTCCCCTAGAAAAGCTTTGATTCAATGCACATCATTTGGAAGCACATCTAGTGGCTGCCAGGAAGACGGTCACTAAAGATGGATTTAACCACGCATTTTTTTATATTGTAGGGTTTAAAGGACTGTACCCAGATAACTTATTTGAGATGAAGTCATCTCTGTGACTATAGCATCCCTTTAATACAGAAAGACAATCAAGCATTTTGGGGATATCCACATTAGTTTTGAATAGAGGATAAGGAAGTAGATTTGTAAACATTTGTATTTATTTATTGTCAACAGGAAATGTTTGAAAGAAATCGGACGGCAGTCACAGAATTTCTCCTTTTGGGATTTGGGAACCTCCATAGCTTCAAGATTATATTATTTATTTTGTTTTTGATAATCAACATAACATCGTTAGTTGGAAATCTTTTGGTCATTCTAATCTTCATAACCAACAAAAGTCTTCATTCTGCTATGTACTTTTTTCTCAGTCAGATGTCATTGTCTGACATTTTATTTACCATAACTATAATGCCCAACATATTGTGTTTAATATTGATGGGGCAAGTTCATATGCCTATATCTGGTTGCCTTATACAGTTTTATATTCTAGGTATCCCAACCGCAGCCCAGTGTTTGCTTTTGGCCGCCATGTCCTTTGATCGATATGTTGCCATCTGCAAACCCTTACGTTATACAACTATCATGACCTTCAAACTTCAGGTTCATATTGTCAACGTATGTTGGGTTCTGGGATGTCTACTAGTTTTTCTTATCTATATTTTCTTAACCAAGCTGGATTTCTGTGACTCCAACATCATTGACTATTTTTACTGTGATATAGCTCCAGTTGCAGATATCGCTTGCTCTGATACGACAGTTGTAGAATTAGTGACCTCTATGACGTCTACTCCTCTTGTTCTGTCTCCATTTGCATTTATCATTGGCACCTACGTATCCATTGTTCTCACCATTCTCAAAATTCAGTCAACAAGTGGGAGACACAAAGCCTTTTCTACCTGTAGCTCTCACCTGACTGTAGTATGTATGTACTATGGCACTTTAGCAGTAAATTATACATTTCCACGCAGTGATCACTCTGTGAATATTAACAAGGGTCTTTCCTTGATGTACATGGTGGTAACCCCATTCTTCAACCCAATTGTCTACAGCTTGAGAAATCGGGACATCAGAAGAGCCATAGAGAACACTTTCTTGGGAATTCGGGGCATTATATTTTTTCAGTAAGACCCTATCATCTAACAGCCTTTGTAAATGGTTTTCAGCAGTAATTCACTGTCATATTAAAATGTTTTATCGCTTATACTTCCATGACAGAACTAATTTCATGGTTCAACTTTTGGTAGGGCTCACACCAGCTAGTATACTGAAGTCTGGTAAAATAAGAATTAGAATAAGAATCTAAGCATAAAAAAAAATACAAAATGTTAAAAAATTATATATATATATATAATATGTACTATTTGACTGTACTCTCTTATTCAGATCAATACTTGCAGAAAGTGACACAGTCGGGAAAGAAAAGAAGAAAATATAATGTATGTTTGTTCGTACCATAAACAAGAATTCATTTTGGAAGTGTTTTGTTCTGTAATCCAATTACAACGTCAGTGTGATTATATCCCTTTCTGGGAATCTGAAAAATGCATAATAAATATCTAAAAAATATACAAAAACTAATAACACTTTAGACCATAAGAAATACATTAGATCATATTGGACTGCTTTCATTCTCCAGTTAGAGTTGCTGAAATTGAATATCATTGTATAATTAAATATAGATCTGCATTTATTAAATGTTGATTCCTTCAATTTTAAATTGATACAAACAACAGGACGACAACATCATGGTGTTCTGGAGCCACCTATTGTTAACCTGGAGTGTGATTGTTCATGCTAGCTATGTGTATAATGGTGTGCATCACCCTCCAAGACCGCCATGTGGGGGGATAATGATTGTATTTTTATGGAAGCATGAATGTCACTATTTGGTGCGTCTGCTGATGTTAAAAAGGTGTAAGCACCTGGTGCATCTTCCAGCCAAAAGAACTGAGATGGCATTTTTTTTCCATTTTAAAGGATCACTATAGTGATCACTATAGCACTATAGACAGCCACTAGAGGTTGGCTTAACCCCTAATGTAAACATAGCAGTTTCTCTGAAACATCTGAAGTGTGAAAACCTGAGGGACCTGGCAACCAGACCACTTCATTCAGCTGTCCCTTGACATTGACAGAGCATGTGTCAGTGTGTGTGTGTGTCAGTAAGTGTGTGTGTCAATGAATTTGAATCATTGACAGAGTATGTGTCAGTGTGTGTCTGTGTGTGTGTGTGTCAGTGTGTATGTCAATGAGTTTGTATCATTGACAGAGCAAGTGTCAGTGGGAGTGTGTCAGTAAGTGGGAGTTTGTGTGTCACAAAGAATGTCTGTTATTGAGAGATCGTGCATCGTTGTGAGAGGATGTGTGTATCAGTGTGTCAGTGATGAGTGTGTCAGTGAGTACGTGTGAATGTAACTGTAAATGTATAAAATACATTTGTTTATAATATAATATGCATAAAATATATACATGTCTATTAATACATAATACATTCAGAAATCACGAGTACAATATAACGATTACATAAATCCCCATGTCAATCACATGAATATAATTTACATATATGTAACGAGGCCTTCACATTCAGTCTCCCCCTTTTGTTTTCATGGTGCCAAAATATAAAAACATATACAATCTAAAGCACTAGACTTAAATTAAATACAACTTAATTTTAAGCAGTCATGCAACAACATTCGATGATTCAGTCTCATTTTTCAAGATGTCAAGATAATAGGGTTGAAACGTTGACTTATGATATGGCACGTCTGGTTAAAATAAAGCAGTTATTTTGTTTATTTTAAAATCCTATGAGGGCTTTCCTTAAAGTTAGAGAAACTTTTAAATGTTAAGTTCATTATCCAACTATTTATTTGCACACTTTTTTTGATGCAATTTAATAAACAGCTTAAAGACATTTTGCCAAGGGGACACATATAAATTCCTGAACCTGGATCCTCTATTCATTTGTTCAGCCACTGTGCGTGAGGTTACTGTAACGCTGGCACCCATGCTTAAACCAGTGCACATTGCAACCAGGGGATGCCAGAATATGGCTGTCTCCTGGCTTTAAACACCAGAAGCCCTCAAAAGGGAGTAGGAAGCAGAATGTGCTCACTGTGCACATTTCTTCAGCTCCCCCTGGACACTAGGCACACCTTCTTCACATACTGATCTTCTTCTCCCGCAGTCACAGCTAGCACAGGTATGCTGGAAGAGAATAAGGGGTGTTATTATTATTCTGTGGATAGAAATTGGTGTGAGTAAGTGTTAAATAGGTGTGTAAACTGGTGTGTGAGTGTAGAGGTAACACATTAGGTGTATATGTCAGTGAGAGGTTTCATTTTTATGTCAATGACAGTGAGTGTGTGTTAGTGAAAGATAGTGTTTAACTGGCAGTGTGTGTCTGTGTGTGTGTGTGTGAATGTAGGGGTGTCTGTGTGGGAAGGCAGGGTTGTATTAGATCACAGTGTCAGTGTGTATAAATGTGTGGTGTGTACAGGCTCCCTATGTCTTATATCTTACCAGACCTCATATATGTTGTGTACCATTCTGCAGTTTCCTCCAGTACCATTTCTCCCTTTCCATGTTGTTTTTCTTAATTTAGTTTCTAGTATGTATCCACTGCTTTCTTAGCACTCATTTGAATCCTCTGTGTCTTTTGCTCTCTCAACAAATCATTGTCTGCCTTGTCATTTTCTCTCTGAATATTTCTGTTTCTCAAATTTAGGCTAGCCCTCCGCTAAATTTACTTAAGTCCCTCTCTTATTAAGATAATTATCTTTCAATGTCATATCCTCCAATAGTATGAATCAGTCTGCTTCCCTAACGGTTTCTGTATCACAGCCATCAGTTCAGTTAGGTAAGCTTTGAGTCAGGGTGCCCCAAAAGGCCAGACTGGGACAAAAGAGAAAGCATCTGCCAGGCAAGCCGCAAACTTGGACCACAGAAAAGAAATCTTAGTACCCCATGTGTGCACCAATATCCCCATGATGATGAGGAAGGGGAGTAAATTAATGTTCTGGGACACGACCATTATGATGAAAATATGCACCAACTGAGAAACATAACCAAAACATGGCTGCGGGAGATCTGAACTCTCTCATCCTACATGAGAATATGGGAGGGATTCATTACCCTATATCCAGTTACCCCTATTTCCTATAGCCATGTAACAAGGTGCACCATAACCTTTGCAAGACATTCACTGCCATGGTGCTTAGAGTGACTCTTTAATGTTTATATTCAATAGTGGCATCACTTTCAGTAATTTTGCAATGGTATGGTTGCTGTGCACTCCTGGGGCTCAGGACTCTAAATCTTATAATATAAATAAAAGGACACTCTAGACATAGGTGAAATTTATAGATATCGTTACAAGTAGTTATCAAGGGTGTTTTACATCAATGTCTAGATTTTGTAATTCATAATTAAGGCCCCGAGTTTGATCTGGATTTCTGGGGACCCCAATTACTTACTAAATATGGGGAGTGGAAATGCCATTATCCACCCCCTAAATTACAGTTTGCCCCCCACCCCCCCAGGAATCCCCACTCTCCTAGCCACAACCTGTAAAACGCAATCATGCTTATTATCAGAAGTCCTCTTTCTTCTAATTCTTCTGTTCTTCAGCCCCCAAAAAAGACCAAATAAAAATTGATAATCAACAAAAAAGCAGGTCCAATTGCAAATAAACTGCACAAATCGAACCCACACTGCAATAAAAACAACCCATCTTCACCCATGGAGGTCTTGCCACGGAATGAGCTCTGATAGTGGGGAGCGCCCTTATATAGACTTTTCCACACTATGTCAGCTATTGCAAAGCATTGGAAGATTTCCCAAACTTTGCAATATGACCAAGAGCTCTCTGATTGGTTGGAAAGTAAGCCAATCAATCAGAGCTCTCTGACAGCCAAATCTTGAGAGCCTTCAATGGGTGAAGATATATAATTTTTTTATTGGTTCACATTTTTGATTTGTTTTGTCTTTTTTTATTTGCATCAGGCTTTTTTTCTATTAAATTAGTGGCGTTGGAGATTATGGATTTTAAATTGATATTTTGGGGGGCTGAAGATATGAAGAATCAGAAGAAAGGAGACTTCAGATGGTAAGTATAATATTTTTATATTACTGGTTTTAGATTAACCCTGTAAGTGATTGATGGGCTGTAGAGTTGAGCGGACACCTGGATGTTTGGGTTCGCCGAGTTTGGCCGAACTTCGTCAAAAAGTTCTAGTTCGGGCTCGAACTTGACCCCGAACCCAAACCCCATTGAAGTCAATGGGAACCCAAACTTTTGGGCACTAAAATGCCTCTAAAAAAGTCCTGGAAAGGGCTAGAGGGCTGCAGAAGGAAGTAAAATGGGGGTAAGAGTAGGACAAGTGCCCTGAAAACAAATGTGGATAGGTAAATCACTTAAAATAACATTAAATACCTAAAAATAAAAAATACAGCTGAGCCATAAAATAGCACTAGATGGAATCTTTGATTTTAGCTTTGGAAGAACATAAATCAAAATCTAAAGCATGGCTGTCAGGAGGATCACCAGAATTATCCATTTGAGAGAGGGTTGGTGTGCAGGGTGTTCTCTTTGTTCAAATTGAGCTCAACTCCTGATGCATGGAGAAAAGGCCTTCACAAGCCTCTGCTATTGTGTAAATAGTTTATACTAAGTGACCCATAGGTTGAAGAGGTGGTGAAGGTGTAAGCGGCGGTGGAGGAGGAGAAGGTAGCCAACACTGTTTTTTATTTTTATTTTTTTTTAATTGGGGAAGCATCCAAAATATTGGGACATTAGCTGAAGCTCATGCTTTGCATGTAGATGCCTGGTCATGCAGGTTGTGCTCAGGTTTAGAACATTTATGCCTCGCTTCAGGCTCTGATTGCACAGCGTGCAAACCACTTGTGTCTTGTCGTCAGCACATTGTCTGAAGAACTGCCACATCAGGGAACTCCTTGGAGCTGGCTTTGGTGTGCTTGGTCCCTGGGTGCAGTGGGCAGTAGCAGGCATACTGTCTAGGGGACGGCTGCTCCGCTTTTGCACCCTGCTCTAGGAGGAGGAGGTGGATGTGGAGTAGGAGGTTGAGGAGGAGGTGACCGTGGCGGTGTAGGTGGAAGCGGCGGTG